CTGTCTCTTTAGGTTGTCTCTAGCTGCTTAGCTGCTGCTTATGTGTTTATTTGTTTTGTCTTAGTTTTTTGGTTTAATATTTTGAAAAGGTGAAGCTGGTGTATTTTATTTTATTATAGATTCAGGTATGTTGGGATGCTCTGCTGTTTCCTTTGTGATGGTGGAATCACTGTGTGGAATGTGGATATGTGTTTGTTTTTCATAAAGAGGGTTTAGAGTTCGAAGCGGGAGGTTTTATGGTAGTTGGCTGAATATTGTTTCTTCTATCGAATGAGTGAAGTTATTGTTGGAGAATTTGGGAACAGAAGAAGGAAAGCGTGATGTTGCTAGGGTCGGTGTCTAGGGCTTTGCACAGGCTATTATTGATGACATAGTTATTTACAAGACCGCAGCTCAATCTCAGGAAAGATTCCTGTTGTTAGGGAGTCGCAACTTTCCGCCAGGCTCAGGCTCACTCAAAGACCCTGCTTCTGAGGGCCCTCAGGAGCTCTGGTAGCATAGTGGCTAAGACACTTGCCTGCTAACCAGAAGGCTGGCGGTTCAAACCCACCAGCCACTCCTCGGAAGGAAGGTTGGGCAATCCTACTTCCATAGTGATACTGCCTCGGAAACCCAAGGAGGGGTCGCTATGAGTCGGGGCCGACTCGACGGCACATAACAACAACAACAACAACTGAGGGCCCTCAGTGCCAAAGAGCCGATTCAAGGCAAATTCTTGGGACCGCACTCAGCCGTGACTTCCTCTCCCCCCACCCATCTGCCCGCAGTGCTGGCACAATCGCGCCAGACCACTAATCACTCTGGAGTTTGTGATACTGCCCAGCTGCGGCACCAAAGATGCACATGATTTCAGCTGTGTTGGAGTTGGAGGAATACCTGTGAGTAAACTGTGGTCCCAATATCCATGACAAAGATAAGCACGATGTCTCCTAGGCTGACCCAAGCCCACTCAGTGACCCTCTGAGAGGGGAGGATGCTCGCCCTCCTGGCACAACAGTGAGCTCTCCGTTTGAGTCTCAGCAGTGCTGCATGCACCCTCCTGCACCCAGGTTACCCAAATTACCAACAAAATCAGGTGCTGGAGGCAGATCCCTAGGGCTTTCTGCTGAGATGTTGGAGTGGTCACTGGTATGCTGATATAGGGTGTCTTCTTTCTTGGCTCATGAGGATCTCAGGTGGCCACTCTCGCCCGCCAGTCAGTGACTGCCCCAGAGAAGTTTCCAGTGGCCTCTCTTGGCTGCCTGTCCATCTTCTGTCAGGTAGCTCTTTCTTAAATAATCCTCCCTGTGCCTTTCCTCTAATTCTGCTCTTCTGTGTTTGGTGCACGCTGATTCAGTGAGCTGTTCAGAGCACCAAAATTCCTAATCTAAACTGCTGTACCTAGTTTTTTAAGCATTTAGATGCTAGAGAGAAATAGCATGGTGCTTACTGACAAGACTCCACTTTGGTTTTTCTTAAGCTTTCTTCATTTAGTTTTGATTGTTGTTTTTCTGATTGTTCCCTTTCCAAAGAAGTATTGCGGTATTTGGCTTCAGTCTCACTAATTCTTTCTTCCATTGATTCAGTTCTACTCCTTTGCCCATTCAATGTGTTAATCCATTTCTGAGAATTTAATATTCATCTTCTGGATTTCTATGTGTAGATTTTTTATCATTTCTGATTTCTCATTTATTTTGTCATTTTGTTCTTGTATTGTCTTTGAAATTTTTGTAGGGTTTTCTCTGTGTTTTCCTTAATTTTGTCAGTATATTCCTTGATCTGTCTCTCAATTTGTTGAAGGTATCTAAATATAACTCTTTTGAATTCCTTATCAGGGAGTTGCAATGCTGTGTCTTCCTCAGGGATGTGTTTTGGGTCTGTATCCTGGTCCCTTGTTTCTCCTGCTTTATCTTGCTTCTTTGTGTGGACTGTGATGCTCTGCTGTCTCTGAGGCATTATGATGTTTTTGTGTTTATATTTAATTTGTGATTGTATGTTGAAGTGATTTGCCCATGATTTTTGATTTATTTAGATGTTATCTAAGTAAACAGGGTACTGTGCTCCTCTATTCAGTAGTTGGCAGCACTTATACAATCACCAACTGTCTCCTTTCCCATTGTCAGTCTCCCGTACATCCCTTCTGTCTCTGGCAAACAGAGCTTATTCTTAGGTCCCTGAAATCTGAATGACTCTTTTTTTTTTTTTTTGGTGCTGTTCTTTGCTTCCAATGATATGAGACCATTAGCTGCATCTTAGATGGCCACTTGAAAGCTTTTAAGACTCCAGTTGCTACTCACCAATGTAGGATGAGGAATTAGACTTTCATGTATTTTGTTGTGCCAGTTAGTTGAGTCTGGTGTTCCCCAGTATTATGGTCCTGAGTCAGTAGCCATTGGATTTCTCTCCCACAGTGTCTAGGATTACTCTATGTCTGTTTTATGTTGTTTCTGTAAAGATTGCAGACATTTTGTATCACTGATGTCTGTCTGTGCAAGATTAGCCTCTGCTGAATCTATCCTTGGTCTAGAATATGCTCCTGTTCACTGACCCATCTGATCTTTTCAGATGCCCACGTGTTTATCTGTAGCCTGGTGTTTTGTGTTAATGCTAATGCAGAATTTTGGATATACTGATTGGTATTAGCATCTGTCATCTCTTTCTTATGTGCACAATTCAGTGTGCTCCCTTTTCCTAATGTTACCGTGGTGGTCACAGACTCTTTCCATACATCCCTGTCCTTATCCATGTCAGATTTGCCAATCTTAGCAAACAGTGACAGAGTTTAATGAGAAACCATGGGAGTAAGTGGCCTTGCAGTGGGAACACTGGGCGAGAGGTCCTGCTTCTGCTGGTTGCATTTCAGGAAAGGCTGAAAAGACCAGGCAAGCTTGTCACCAGTTTAAGTCTCTGCTGACTGCCTCTGTATATTTTATTTCTGGCAGCACCTTTAGTGGCAGAGTCTTCCGCGTGACTTTCTTGATGCTTGCTGTTTGCGTTACCGTTCCCCTGCTTGGTGCCATGGTGCTCCTGGAGTCCCCCATAGACCCACAGACTCTCAGGTGAGTTGTGCCAGCAACTTGTGGGAAGAGGTGCTTGGTAAATGTAATAAACAGAAATAATTTCTAGGGGACAGAGGGCAATTAAGCCAATCTGGTCTTAATAATAAGTTATGAGAAATAGAGTTTTGTGATTTCTTTAGGATCCTAGTTATTACATTGAATTAAATGTTACACATAATATATGAGTGGTATTGTCTATGTCATTGTTTTAAAAAACAAAATTATACAAACTCATAAAAAAGGTTAGAAAAATCCAAATAGTTATATTAGAAACCAAAACCAAATCCACTCCCGTTGAGTCTATTCTGACTCATAGCCACTGTATGTTGTTGTTATGTGCCGTCAAGTCAGACCCGACCCAGGCAATATCATTACAGATGTAGATTGCCCAATCTTCCTTCCGAGAAGTGGCAGAATATAACTGCCCCATGGGGTTTCCGAGGCTGTAAATCTTTACAGAAGCAGACTGCCTTGTCTTTCTTCCATGGAGCAACTGGTGGGTTTGAACTGCTGATATTTTGGTTAGCAACCAAATGCTTTAACCACTGTGCTACCAGAGCTCCTTCAAGTTAGAGACAGTTAACATAAATTCATTGCAAGTGGCAAAAATACCTACAAATAAAGGTGAGTGTAAATTTCCCTGTTTAAATTTTATCAATGTTGTTGAGCAAAAATGACAAAAAAAAAAAGTCTGGTTGAAATTAAAAGTAAAGAGCTTTTATTGAGGGGTAAGTTAGCTTAGTGCCTAAGGCACTTGACTGCTAACCAGAAGGCTGGCGGTTCAAACCCACCAGGTACTCCTCAGAGAGAAGATTGGGCAATCTACTTCCATTGGGATACTGCCTCAGAAACCCAAGGAGGGGTCACTATGAGTTGGGTCTGACTCGAAGGCACAAGACAATTTGTAAAGTGGAGTCACAAATTCCATGGGATTATTAATTAAGTAATCCAAGGATGAGACAGTTCAAGAGTTTATTAGAGAATACAAGGAATTTCAGTAAAAATTCAGTGATTACTTGATGTTTAGGGAATAGCTACAAAATTGGGTGATGGTACATCTGGTTGGTAGATTATATATGGTTCTAGCATTGTTTATTTCAGTTGCAGAGTAATTATGAAATTGGGTACATCTGGCCTCAAAATAATCATGAGACCCTCCTTGTGTGACTGTAGGGAGGATGTACATAATTCTGAAATTTATTTTGGGTAAAGATCTGAGAATTCCTTTGCACCTGGCTCCCTAGGCATCAAACAAAACCTATAAGCAAACAAAATTACATTGTTTTCTGAAATTATTTACCAGGCATTTTTCTCAGGATACAGTGGAGAGTTACAGGGATGACAGGCCTTTTTATTCATAGTGGAGTTTTAGTCACACACCTTAGCATTGCCACTATCTCATGTTGGAAGTGTTAAGTTAATTTGGGGTATTCTTACTTACCAACAAATGATTTTTTATTATTTTTTTTAATACCTGTGATTAGTGTTCTAGTTTTCCTAAGTTACTTTCACTGAAGGAGAACTCTGAGTAATGCAGTTCATTTTAAGTTGAAAAGTTAGTGTATACCTTGGGAATCCATGGGAGCTCTGGTGGCGTAGTGCCTAAGGCATTTGACTGCTAACCAGAAGGCTAGAGGTTCAAACCCACAAGCCACTCCTCGGGAGGAAGATGGGGCAATCTACTTCCATAGAGATACTGCCTCAGAAATCCAAAGAGGGGTCGCTGTGAGTCGAATCGACTTGACAGTAAGTTTGGCTTTTGGTTTTAGGGAACCTGTGGAATATATTCTTATTTATAATAATAATACAGACCTAGACTTTGCTTGGTTGCAGTGACCTATAACATTGCTATAGTACTAATGTCAAAATGGTTGTAGAGTCTGGTTAGGTAACTAGAAATAATTCCCCTTGAAACTGGCCAGACAGGTGAATCTGCTTAAAATTTACTTGAAATGAATTTATTTTAAATGTATAAAGTTTGAAAACTTTAGGCAAGAATCATGTCTGTCTATAGAGTGAATGTAACATACAACCGAATAATGTGTTGATGTTTTATTAATAAAAATTTGAGGCTTTATATCAGATTCAATTTAAGGAAAATGTATATTCAGCATTTCAAACACTTAAGGTAAATAACCAGCTGATACAAAGACATAAA